TGCTAGTACGAAGGTGTTCGTGGACACGAGGCTTGAATGCGACTGGGACAACCTCCGAAACAAAATTAAAATCCGACTTTACTTACCGTGGAGTATATTATTATATTATATTATATATATTATATATTATATTATTATTATATTATATTATATATCATATGGAAGATCTAATAAGGTATACTTGAATATTGATATGATTCTTTATATGTATAATATTATATGTTTAAGACAGTCTTTAACGACTAATTTATTTTCATTTTTAAATTTGCAAGACATCATTCTATATCACTATATTGGGGAAACCTATGTTATATTAAGATGTAGTTGCTGATGATCACATTCAAATAATTTAGTTTTCTTCACCAGTTTAATGATCATACATTTGATCCTCGCTCTCAAACTTTTGTATAAAAGTACGTAAAAATTTACTTTTTGGCCAGCTTTGAGTGTTCACTAAAAGTAAACCACTTTGTTCTAGTAAGATGACTAAAAAATAATTTCCCATATTCATATGAGCCGCTTGGACGTATTAATTTTTTTTTCTTCAATTAGGTTTTTTTTGCAAGGGGTTTTTTTTAGGGGGGGATTTTGTTTTCACATTCGCAACTTCCATACGTCAAAACACTCGCACACAGGTCATTTCCCCGCGCGTGCTGCGCGATAGCGAGCGACAGTATTAATATCGCGTTCCTGGCTGGCGCCGCTCCGCCGTGGCCGTCGCCCGCACCGCCAGCGGAATACGCGCGGCTCGCGAGGCGCAGCTGGCGCGTTGCCATTCTGGCAGGCGCGGTGCGGCCCACTTCGCGCGATATTTGCTTCTGCGCTGACGTCCAAGAGGGGCGGTGCCGCCCCTTCACTCACGCCATCCCCCACCAGCTGGACTGCCAGCTCTGACCCACTCCGGCCGATCCCACGGATGCAAGCTCTGACCCACTCCGCCATCCAGCGGCTGCCACTCTGACCCACTCGCGCCATCCTCACGGCTGCAGATGCTGACCCACGCCGCCATCCCACGGCTGCAGCTCTGAGTCCCACCCGCCATTCCCTACGCTGCAGCTACTGACCCACTCCGCCCAATTTCCCACGGCTGTCACCTCGTGACCCATCCGCCATCCCACGCTGACTGCAGCTCTGACCCAGCTCCGGCCCATCCATCGGCTGCCAAGCTCTGACCCACTCCGCCATCCCACGGCCATGCTCTGCACCCACTCCGCTCACCTCCACGGCTTGCAGCTCTGAACACTCCGCCATCCCACGGCATGCAGCTCTGACCACTCCCCGCAAGTAGCCGAAACGAAAACAAGCGCCTCGCGCACGTCTTTTTGAAAGGGATTGACAAATTCGAAGGGATTTTAAAGAAGATTCGTAAATTGCCGAACTGAGTAAAATAATTAGAAAAAATAAATGTATGCGGTAATCGTGGATAGATCGTTTAAAAATGCATAATTTCAATAACTGCAATATCAAGAACAAGACTTCAAATAATTTTAATTATAAAAAAGTAATAAAGGATGTTCGCAAATGAAAGATTCAAAGAAGTGAAAAGTTTGGAATGGAACTTCTCAGGAAAGGGCAAAGGAAGGGTTCGTGATAAGATTTTTTCTGAAAGTGGCCCACCGTGTTTTTAGTAAACTGGACAATTGGACAAAATTACAGGAAAGGTATTATAACAGAGTCATAATAAGAGACCTGAGTCACAACAAAGACCAGACCCTGACAATTCAACTGGAAACGTTTTAAGGATAGAAAACGACCCGTTACTGAACAATTGAATCAAGGGATATCGGCTAGAATCATACTAAGCAGATTGTTTGGAACCCAATCAAGATCTAAATCCGATGAGTGCATTTCAGCTCTAACTGCCCACCTTCCTCAAGGTCCAAACGAGCGGTGCAGAAACCGCGGAAGGCGGCCGAGGCAACGGATGCCAAAACGCCCAGATTACGGAGCTGGCGGCGGGGGGCGCGCGCGCGAGAGCACGCGATTGCCGTCCCGCGCGGGCGCCCGGCGCACTTTCCATGCAAATGGCGCGTCGCAGCTGCGGCCTCCAGTTCTTACAATCGCGCCGCCTGCGCGCGCCCTATTCGGTTACTCCGTCACGGGGCGCGCACAATTCCCATCGGCAACTGGCTCAGCGAATTCCCGGCGCCGCCATCGAAGCCGCGCTCCTCGCCCGCCCGCCTTGGCCTCGAGCGGGGAGGGCGGGGCGGGGCCTCGGGGGGAAGGGGCGGTGTCGGGAGGGTCTGGACCTCGAGGGGCGGGAGGGGCGGGTGGAGCGGAGTGGAGGGGCGGGCGGGAGTGGCGGGGCGGGGCGGAGATGGTAGTGGGCGGGGCGGGGCGGAGGGGGAGGAGGGAGGCGGGAGGGAGGGCGGGAGGGCGGGGCTGGGAGGGTTCGGGAGGGATGGCGCGGTGGAGCGGCCGGCGGGAGGGGAGCACGGCGAGGTAGCTGGGGGCGGCGGGGGAGAAAAGGGCCGGATTTTCCCAAAAAAGGGAGAACCTATTTTATAAAGGTGACACATGATACACATTTTCCAAAGAAATGTGTTAAAAGCTAGCAACAATTCAAAGTTTCAAAATTCAACAATTCAAAGCTTAATATGTAATGATAATTATTAATTATAATATTAGTCCATTAAACATTCAAGATTAGGTTACCGAACGCTGAACTAATATTCAGCCATATAATGTTACCTATTAGCTACATATGTTTTGATTTTGAAGGCTTTTCTGTAATCAAATGAAAATTTTCTTCTTCGAGGGACTGTACGTGAACAATTTTCAGTCTTAAATTACTATATTTCTGAGAGCTCCAAATAAACAATTGTTCATTTCTGATCATATTATACTATGAGTTCTGGAGAGAGGAATTCGCGCGTAAGAATAAATGTACAACTTGCCCTTCCCACTTCAATGTTTCAATTGTTGGAAAGGTGTATTTCATTCAACGTGCTATTTACGTATACGATGGCCGTATGGGTCACACCTAAATCACAAATGTGAAATTATTGATTATTATGTATTATATATTATTATATATGATTTATTATTATTATTATTATTACTATTAATTATATTATTGTGATTTTGATTATTATTATTCAAAACGATAGTATAACTGATCAAAGAACTGTTGTTTCAAAGATTATAGGAACTATGGGAACAGATTCTTTCTGACAACTGAAAGCATAAAGGGACCATTTCGGTTAACAGAATAAGAAACATCATAATTCCCTTATGTATATGTAAATTACAATACTACAACAAAAGGTCATTAAATGACAGAGGAAGCATAAACACGAAACTTTCAAAACACGGAAAGGATTACTAGGAATATTTTAAAGAATGAAACAAAAAAATTCCGGAAACAGAAAAACGCAAAACAGGAAGCGCCGCCATTAGCGATCACGAAGTCGGAGCAGGGCGGGAGGGCCCACCGACAGACGGTCCCGGGCGCAAACGCGGTGGCGCGGTGGCCGCGGCCTGGCGCCTTGGCGCGCGTGCGGTGCGCATCGCCAAATTATCGCGGGCGCCCCGCGGGAGTCGGGCTATCAGCAAGCGATCGCAGATAAGGCTCGTGGGCGCGCCCCACGCTCGGCAGCGTTAATTGTCTTGGCTTCCGGTGCAAACCCAAAAAGCGGCGGGGCGGCGGCGCGGCGACCGCGGCGGGGGAGGGGGCGGGGCTGCGGAGACGCAGGCACGCCCCTTGCGGCGCGCCCCCAGACCGATTACGATCTGCTTGCTCCCCCGCCCCCACAGCCGCCGGGCACACAGGTGCGCATCGATCGTTGCGTATCACTCATGTAATGGGGCTCGGCAATTTTCTGCGTGTAACATAATTCTCCTAATTCAACTTATTCCAATGGTTCGTTACTTTAATCTCTCCCCGATTTTTGCGTGTTAGTTCTCCCTTTTAATTTCTTTTTGATGGAGCTTTTTGACCAGTTTATTGGTCACAATATGGACTTGTTAGTATAATAATTTACCCACTCACCTGTTCAAGCTGCAATGCACATATTTGGGTATTGCAGGCGGATACAATAATTTGGTGAATTTAGGTGAATTAACGTTTTACAAATTCATTACCTACTCTGAAAAATTTGTCTCGTCTGCTATAATTAGAAGTTTCAAAAATATAATTAGCCTAATTAATTACGTCTATGATTAAACTAACACGTGGAAATTTAAATTCAGATATTGCGAGTATTTTCTACAATAACAAATGCGAAACACCTAAGTCGC